ATAATTTTTCTTTTTAACAACAACAGCGGGCAGTAAAACTGCGAATACGAATGTTGTGGCGAAAGAGCGTGCCATGTTATAGTATTAATTCATTTGCAATACAAGTGCCATGCTTTGGGTTTCGCAACGAGCCGGCCGTATGGCCGTTGTCGCCGCACTCCTTGTTGAGGGTGACAGAGTACGCGCTTGGAATTTCCGTCCGTCCGTTGGGGGGCAAAATTCGCCGAGGGCCCGACTTGAACAAAGAAATAACGACGCTAGCCGGCGATTTGAATTTCATTGGCCAAGAACTACACTTGCCAAACACATGATTTCCAATTGAATCGACAGCCGTCTGTTGTGGGAGCCAGGCACTTTAAAGCGCCCGTAAATACTCGTGCGCGGACCCGGAAGGATCTTCTGTACTGAGACTTTGAGTGGTTGGTTAAACTGTTAAACGTAGCTGCAAAATCCGTGGACCGAGAAAGTGGTCCTCGCCATGGTCGCGGTGTTTGCCAGGGCGAGGTATCCTCATTGTAGCTACGGCTGGGAAGGCTCTCGTCCGCGCCGGTACCTGACTCAGGAACAGGCGAAGAATGTATTGCAGGAGCATAACAGGGCGAAAGCTATGTGCGCTCTTCGTACCGCGACGACAATAGCATTTCCGTCGATGGCAAAGGGAGCGCCTGCGAAGCCTGGCCGGCGAAGGCGTTGACGCACACTTGCGTGGACGCGCGCTGCGTCGCCTGGCTGAGCGGGCCACCCGGCGCTCCTCCGACCGAGCGATGCTCGCTCGCGCCGCCCCCGAGAAAAGTGGTAAAAGCTTTCCCGTGAGTGAACTCTTCTCCAAATCACCAGTTTTTTGTAATTAAATTCTGTTCACTGTCATTCTTTTTATTATTACCAAAATCCACCCCACCCCCCATTTTCCTTCCCTGCTTGACAATTTGCAGCTAAACTGATAGCACAAATACTCATTAGAAGTTCTTGCGTTCTTGCTGCACCGAACAACTGCTAAGCCGGGCAGCTAACCAACGGAAGGGGACAAGCCTGAAGGTTTCCGGGTGGGCGGTTGCGATATAATGTGGGTAGAAATGAGCATACGTATTCTACTCCAAAACTGAAATACCCATGCGAAATACTATTAGACTTTGCTTTCTCTTCTTTTACTGTTACAAAACTGTCTTCTACTTTTCTATAACATGTACAGAAATTTGAACTGTCCTTTTCTTTAAATACTACTAATTAGAGAGAAGAAGAGGGAAGTTCCACAATGTTGTTTCTAAATTCTTTGAAAACTCATTAAGCTGTCTTTTTCTACCTCTATTAAAAACAGAGATTAGTTATCCGCAAGATAACTAATCACGCATAACATCCACCTGGACCGCATTTCCTGGTACAGGGGCCTCCAATAATAATTTAAACAATGCGAAAATTAAAAACAAACTTTGAAACCAGGAATTGTACACATTTTATAGTAATATTGTTTGTATAAAGTTAGCACAAAGTTTGCGTGACATTTTTGCGAATCTACGACTCTTTCTAACGTAATAATGATGCAAATATTTACATAGAATGTATGCAATTTTTGAAACATTAAACAAATATTTCATGTAAACAATTTCGTTATATACTTTAAAAGATAAAATATTCGATAATTTTTACACAATAAATGTTTATTGTAACACATTTATGTAATATTTGTACAATGTTTACACAACAAGAGTAAACAAGTTTTATCCGAGATGGAAACGATCAGGCAATTGTGTAAAGAACTGGAACTTTCATATCAATGTTGTACAAATATTTACATAAAAATTTCACAAATTTTTAATACATTTTGCATTGTTGCGGTCATCAGGAAATATATATATATATATATATATATATATATATATATATATATATATATATCCCGATGGCCTCAACAATGTGTGTGTGTGCGTGCGTGCGTGCGTATGTGTGTGTGGTGAGAGAGAAGTTGTTTCATCATCTCTCTCCATTCTAGGACTTCACGAAACAAAATCGGCGGAGAATGAAACTCACCTCTACAGCGCCGATCGTGCTGTCAGCCAGATACACTCCCGCCTACAATGGCTCAGATGCGCCCTTTGCATGGTTGGCGGTGACCCAGTACACCTTGTGGCAGACGCACAATGTGATCGTGTCTCTGGTGGTGATTCCTTCTCAAGTTGGGGATATCTGCTGTATGATCTGGGATTTCGTCAAACAAGTGCTCTTCTTTACCCCTACAGATGAAGGCAAATGCGCCCGTAGTGCTTCCACATACCTATTGTATCGCAGGTACAGATATAGAAACGGTTGACCAAATTAAACGTACTCAGTAAACAACCTTAATGCATATTCAGAAAATTCTTAAGTACATAATAGTATCCACATTAGTTAAAAAATATAAAATAAAAAAAATACTATGTGCTCAATGGATGGCAATGACGATGGTTCGAGTTCCTGTTCTGACGCCTGCCCGAGTGAATTGTTAACATCGACCCTCGTGGTTATTGGGCCTGCTTTGCCGACGATTGGACTTGATTCACCTTTTATTACCTTTAATTGTCATTAGAGGTTGGCCATCATTCCTTAGGAGGTAATGTCGCTTTTTCGGGGAAGGCTCGGGTTGGTTTCCGCTCACGCGCTTTCCGAAGTTTGGGCAGGGCAATTTTATTTGGTTCAGAGTTCCTGTCGCCTTTTGTTTGGGGTATCATCGGCTGCGGTTAGTACTCCCTTGTCCGGTTTTGTGAAACACACTATATTCTACACATTTCTTGGTTTCTCTGGACCTTTTACTGCACTTTTATTGCAGCAGGGGTGTTGGTGTATGGTGGATGAAGCCTGAATCTAATTTAAGATGATGTGTCAGGATAAAATATTTTTAATAATAAAAAATATAAATTGAAGGGTGTAATTCGATTCCTCCCACTATCAGGGACAATGCTGTTTTTCAATTTTTATTGAGCAAAATAAGCTTACGAATACGGCGCTTAAAATAAAACGGATACGTGGGACTGCGACTTCAATTTAAACCTGTGAAATTGTAAAAATTGCATATTGTGACGGGTTGGTTATTTAATTTTAATCGGTCCCCACTCTTGAGGCAGCTATTTGTGATGTCGAGCCTTGCTGGTACGCCAGCTAGATCAGATCCTGCCGGATACATTTTTTTAGTATAATGAAATGGGGCGTCGTTCAAAATAAACACCAGAAATCACACAACAAATAAGAATTTAAACATAATTTGAATTTTAATTCTTTAACATTTACAACAAAAAATCATCAAACTTTACGAGCTCTTTACATGAATAAATATTGAAATAAATTTGCGATTACATCATCACATTAGTGTAAAAGAAGTTAAAAGGCCAAGCCAAATCATATATAAATTTGTTTTTAAATTATTCCCTGTTCTTTCAGGAGCAACCAAGAGTTCTTTTTATTTACTCGATTGGCTTGAAGAGGTTTTAAACCTTTGCGTGGTTTTACGTCGAAAGCCTTCACCACTTCCTTGAGCGACGGGGTGTCTCCGTCACGGTGACCGCGGGTGGGTCGTCGACCCGTCAGCTGTCTTCTACTGAAGGTTCTGTTGCGTGCTGCGCGGCCTCTCCACACTTGGGCAGGCCGGGGCGGCCCATTGCTAGAAGCTCAGATGGCGCCGGTCATTCACTGCTGGCGGCGATGCGCAGCGACAACAGTTCACACCACACGTTACGCCATTTTCATTTACGCACTCTTCCTCACTACGTCCTCAAACGAGTGCGGCAGGATCAGAACAATATCGCGAATGAACAGCAGTCATAACTTAACGGTGGAGCGAGATAATGCACCTAGCGATCGAAATTAACATTACTGGGCACCAGATCACAACTAAAGCACCTGGACTTTCGACTTTCGACACCTGGTATTTCGACTCGACGTTAATACGCTCAGATGTTCCATCGCATCCCAAGATTCGATCTATTAAACGATCTTTTCACGAGCTCCAAGATCACTTTACTAAACGATCGCGTACGAAATAAACGCCATCACTTACTTTGAGATCCGCTCAAATACACGGCCGGACACTGCCTTCCCGTCTGCAATCCGCCCAGTTTGGCAGTCGTGCCTCGTCTACAACTCCTTGCTTTATGCTTCTGCCCTCCCTTTCCAAGTATTTAGTATCTTATTCTCCCCGCCGTTTAGATAACGTGCTGTGAGTGGTTCAAAACAATTGGGCATTTAAGTTTTCTCGGCCTATCACTGCGGGCGTCTCGAAAATGACAGTGAAAATTTTTCTAGTACCCTCTCTGTCAGTCCGAAAATGCTGATGTAAGTCTCGAGTTCCCCAGCCGAGTAATTGGTACGACGCAGGTGTGCTTATTTATTTTTCCAAGACATAATTATTGTTCATCGCAGTCGAGGATTTTCTATTTACGCAACACTGTCCACGCCCGTCCGGAGCGTCGTGGAGGGTCGAGGGGGATGAGAAGTGAGCACGGAAGTAGGTTCGGGCCATGAGCACGTAAGCAGAGGAAGCAGCGGGGTGCGGCAACAGAAACGCGTCTCGAACAGTTCCTTGGGCCGGAGGGAGGAGGGGAAAGGGCCTTGGCTGTCCTCGGAACAGCGCGCTCCACACGCAAAGAAATAAGCGTTTCCTAATGTTACGTAATGTTAAGATAAATTTATCAACAACTGCTTATAATTTCGAATTAAATAATTAATTCCTCAATATTTCGAATATGTGGAAAATTTGAATCTCACGCGTTTCTTTTGCTGAAGAAAGTATGTTACATTATGACTGAAAAATGAGCATGATAGAAGTTGCAATATTGTATTACGTGCTCGTTACAAGTAATAAGAGAAAACGTTATATGTTATTCTTCACTAGTTTGTCTTGAGTTTTTTTGGAGAAAAATCAATCATACCAAATTTTGTATATACTCAGATCAATTTAGATGTACAATAATCTATTCTATATTGCACTATTCACTCTTGAAAAATGGATTTATCGATGTTCGCTGTTTCTGCAGCAGAAAGAACGCCGGGCGAGTCTTTGCCAGCACGCCCTTCACCAACAGGTCCAGGTTTAGTCGGACGCACGTGGGCGACGATCGTTACATTATGGGTGATATTCATTTACATTTGCTGGAAATAGCACGTCGTCTCAACCTGACTATACGCAATAAACAATATGTAAATCGCTATAACAAGTGGGAGGAAGACAATGTAGGTACATTTGGAAATATAATGTGCGGAGGTATATTTCATTGAGTTAATTAAGAAACATTTCTGAATCTACTAAAGTATTTGTCTAAAATTTTGACACACGTGATATTTATTCCATCCTTCCCTAATTGAGGAAAGATCATCCCTTTTTTATATTCTCTTTATTATAATAATGATACAACTGTCTCTTGCAATAGTTTCCGGCAGTCGTATGAGGAACATTCTACTGTGACGTCATACGGGTGTAATCGAACACAGACGAGAGTGGTTTGTAAAACAGTAGATTTATTAACAATCTAGAACGTAGTCTCAATTTAACAACTACCCTGCTCACAATAAACTAAATAAATAGCCACACTACAAGGGAGAGATATTTAAGAACGGCTACCACACGGCAACATACCACCGATGTTCCCTGTATGAAGCCGCTCAACTTTGAGACTATCTGCGCGTCTCGGCAAGCCACGACAATGATTGCCGACCCCCTCGCCCTTGTGTACCTACATGCACAGACACGCGGCTTCACCTGTCGCCGTCGCCGCTAGAACAAGAAGACTGGGGCATTGTTCTCTGGCGCTTATAAAGGTCCTTTGGCGCTACCCGCCGCCCCGATTTTTCCTCCCCAAAACCGCTCTGGGCCCGCTACGTCCACGGAAAGTCCCAGTGCGTCATCACTCCGCACTTTGTTTAATATCCGCCGATTTCCACGTGGTTGTCTGTTTTGAGCGCCGACAATTTGTAACGCTAACCTTCCTGTGTTGATTCGAGTCATGTCCACAGCGTCCAGAATTTCATCCTCTACATCTGGAGTTGTAGATCTTAGCTGTCCCCTTCCCAAACCAGGAGAGTTAAATTTCCCATGCTCTCACCAGACTGCGATGGAGAATGACAAATATTGTCCGATCTGGGTATTGTTGCTTGGGTACCTCTCCTACAAACGACGAGCCAACGCAGCTTTGCCGTCCGCCTTACCGTACGTGAAGTGCATGACTGGCAGCTCCTGATTTGACTTCATGACGCACAGTCGAACGCCAAACACGATACTGAATGTAACCTTCACATCGGAATGAACTGTCAGAGTGTCTTGTTGACGTCTCCTTTCACGGCAACGACCTGCAGAAAGAAAAGCGTTCCGGTGAATTTCACTGTTGAGGACATAAATGCTTCATTTCCCGACACATCTTGTAATGAACTATTTTGATAGTCTACATATACGGAATACATACCTGTATTTATGCCCCCTGCTTTGAAACATTCTGTATAAATCAGCAAAATGTGGACAATGTAATTCTAATATCTTCAAGTTAATGACACGAATAAAAATTTCTGAAATGAACAATATGTCTTGGCTAATTAAATTTGTCTTGTTTAAAGTTAGAAAGTGTTTTATTATGACAGCGACATTTTTAAATATATTTTTATTAGTTAACCTTATTTAATGCTTTCGGATATGTCCGACAACATATGCTGGTTTGTCATGGAGAAGTTACGAGACGTACTGAAACACGGCATCTCTGTCTAGAATAGAAGAAGGTAGCACGCGATGTAAGGTCTTTCATACCAAGATTCCTGGCTTTCCCTTTCAAATTCATGAGATCTTTTTATTATTTTTAATTAGTCTAGAAAACCTTCATTATTTAAACGTGTTCTTGTAGAATCTTGAAGACTACCTCGAACGATTGGAATAATACGTTTGTTACTAGTAGCTGTAGATTTTGCATTTACTTGCAAGGAAAATTCAAATCTTACTTCTATTATCTATTAATAGTGGCTGTACACATGTGGTATTCAGCGAATCCCGAGCGACCGCTCGCCGAATCCCGAGTGGTGTGGAGGGGTTGCTTGCGATTCGCCAAGTGCGGAACATTCGGTATTCGCTCTATCCATCGCGTGTCTGTCTTTAAGACACATCAAAGGGAGCGAACATTCGCCGAACACATCACCTTTCGAGACTGAGCGAGCAGCATCTGGCTCAGCGAATGCCGAATGTGTGGTGCCGCCTTAATGCCCCCCCCTCGTGATCGCTTGCCTGAAATGGGCGCCCGACCTGCTCTGTAGGCAAGTCACAATAATTTACCTATTCACGCCGATCTTTGGCAACTGCCGAAGACCTGTACGGGATTACCTCCCGCTTGCCGATGCTACCTTGAGGGTTTGGGCTCTCTGGTTTAGATTTCCAATGATTGGGATCAGGTGTGCTCAACATGCGCTACTAAATAAAAATACAGGAATTTCTTCAATGTGGTTCCCGAAGGAAGCTCACTGTTTATTTCTCGTCTATCCTGATTAAAATACTTATTCTACTTACCACTGTTGAGAGATTGTGAATGGACTGTCACCACAGGAGGAAGCTTGCGGCCATTGATGCAAAGACCGCGTCGTAACTGAAGCTGGCGCACACCTGAGTGCGTTGAGATGGGCGGTTCGGCAGCGTGGCGGCAGTTCGAAGGTCGCTGCCCCTGGCACGACTGGCGGCAGCTTACAGGCAGACTTCCTCAGTGGAAGCGTACTGCCATGTGACAGTCCGTGAAGGACCAAATCAGCGTTCTCCCGTTGCGGCGGCGTCACAGGCTGGCGCAATGATGACGAAGTCGTGCCCCAATCACGCCGACTTTAGTGTTAAGCAGTAGCACATTTCAAAATGTCAGTCACGACCAAGTTGAATTATTGGCGGCTGTTGCCTCTCGTCATAATCAGTCTGTTGTATTGAATGTCATGTACTGCTCTATTTGTTGCTATTAAACTGTGTGCTCTATTTTCTGCGACTGTCTCTCCTACTCGTCTCTTCTACTGTCCTGCGTCAGGCACTAGTCTGTCTCTCTCGGAGATTTTTAGTCATCTATACTCTGTGTCGTTCGCTATTCTGTTTTTCACCGCGTCGGGTTCCCACATCGTAAGGTCAGTCTCCCGTGGAAAGCCAATAATATTATTCATGTAAGTAAATATGTGAGACGCAAATATATGAAATATATTATTTCGGAAGTAGCATTTCCTGAAGTTTGTGAATTAACAAAGTCGTAACGTTTTTGCGTTTATGCAGATTAAAAATTAAGACTTTTTCTTAAAAATTATTTTTAAAATGTTTCTTTTCACTACTAAGTATTCATAAAGTCATTCTTCCACGTTTTTAGTTCAGTAATTTAAAAAGTGTTTTTTTATAAACTGTAACAGCAGGGAGGAGATAGTATAAAACTTGGTAGATCTTGATGTTTCTTGGACCCAAACGCGTTCAAGTCGCGTCAAAACGTTTTGGGGCATTTTTACATCCTCATTCAGCTGTAGTCTTTCCAGCCCCTATTTGTGGTCGAATCTGCAACCTACCTGCATCAGTCTCAATCGTCACTTTTCCGCAGCTACCGCCGATATAAAGCATTACAAAATTCCAGAAATGTACTTGAACCCATTGAAATATACCTCCAAAGAATGGCATAACTTTCAGAGCAATACTACGTAAAAAAAACAACAGTTTCCTCTTGGTTTCAGTTCAGAGGGGGAAGTGGGATTTATGCTTACTAACTTGGCGGCGGAGGAATACGATTTCCTAGCGGAACCTATCAGGGCGCATCCCGACTTCCGCCTTCCGTTCGACGTAATCGCGAGCACGAGCCGCTTTACGGCGCGTGTTCGCGGGGTGGGGCGCCGGCGCCCGCTGCGGCGTGGTCGCTGCCGCTGCGGGCGGTGGGCCGCCGGCGCGTGGGCGCGCTGCTGGGCGCGGCGGCGGCGTACGCGCCTGGCGTGGCGGCGCCGGCGGGGCGGGTCGCTGGCGGCGGCCGCCGGCCAGCGCTGCGCGCCTTTGCTCGTGCAGAGGCCCGCGGCTGGAGGGCGTCTGCGACACGCCGCTGCGCGTGCAGGCGGCCGGCGCCATGTTCGCGTGCGCAGTGGTCGCCGCCGGCGTGTATCAGGTACGGGGGAGGTCGGAAGGAAGGAAGAATATTTGGAGTTTTACGTCTGCAGAAGGTTGCGATTGTTCCGTGGAAATGCGAATGGCGCTGCAGCATCATTGGTGTGGAGCTTTTAGTCCCAATGGTGACGGATTTTGAACATTAGCTGAATGGCTGAATTAATTCAGCCGCTGCCCGGAGAAGGTTTACTGCGGCCTGCTGCTGCGATCGGTAGTTTTCCGACCAATACCGGGCTGTTGCCGGAACAGTACTCTAACAAACGGGAAACTGTAACAACGGGCTACGGACCGCGCGCGATCTTTCCTTCCCGTTCTTTATTCTATCCTAACCCCTTACGTACGCACAATTACACTTACATGCGCTACACTACTACCCTTGTTGGGAGACCAGACGGAAGTTTAGAACGTTTCCTTGTTGGGACGGTGCCCGCTGGAGGGCTCATGCGATTCCTCTCGACGAGACCAATCGATTGGAACTATTTTTACCTTGAAAAAATGTTCTGGAAGTTTAATTTTGAACTCTGCGTGTGGCACTACCTCATACAACATTTCTTTCATCAGGAGGATAAATTCCCAGGGTAGGCACATGCGCTTTTTGTCTATCCACACTCCCCGCGACAGACACGCATGCTTTGGTCTGGGGGCTCCCGATCAAAATCCAGGGAGCTCGGAGGCCCCAACCCGTCTCCTTGCTGGCAAAGTATAGGGAGAAGGGAGCTGGTTGTTTTGAAATGGGTTACACGCAGGGAACATAACTTGGTGCTTAATTCTTGGCTTCTTCAGCAAAGGCTCATGCATGCTACTTGTCTACATTGTATGTTGTGAACCGCCCATTTGCGGTGACGACTGCTGGGCGATATCTAAGTATAGTGGCTGACTATATGTATTTAGCTGTTATTGATAGCTATCGACGTGAGTACCGTCTGAACCTCCCGACCTTGAAGCTATCGACGTAAGTACCGCCTGAACGTAGGCTACTCCGGCAGGGTCGTTCATGCTCGCCGTCTGGACTTTTATGTGTGGGCTTGAGACGCGCTGCCCAGCGGCACACAGAATGCAGACTGACGTACCCCACGTCCTATCTCGCCCAAGGGTGGTTGGAAAACTCACTACCTTCACCTTGAGACTAATGACGTGAGTCCCGCCATGAAGCTCGGGATCCGGTCGGTCGTTGGGGAGTCCACTAGAAACCATGACCACCTATGCAATCATAATCCCCCTCGTTCGGATTAAATGAAAGAATTGAAAGTATTGTAAAAAATCGTATTTTGATGGCTACAAGGTGTAGAGTTTTACCACCTAGGTAGGACAAACTACGAAATTGGGTCCCCCGCCAAAATGTACAGGGTTCCCGTAGGTAGCCTAACGGAACAGGACATTTAGGACATAGGTGATTGAATCCTGTGTAATATTGCTTTGATATTGACCTATACTAAACACTACTTTGATTCATTGATTGACGCGCCAATGCTTTGGTGATTAGTCTCTTAAGAGACAACACTGAAGTGAAGTGCACTTTTTATTACAGGAGATTGCGGTGTTCTTCCCCCATTGGATGGAAAGATCTGGTGCCGATTTACAAGTCATTCACGTCGGCTTGGGCATTTTGTCCATCCAGGTATCTCCCATCAGAGGGACACCGATGTAGACTAAATAAGCTCTAAGCTCTCGGCTTTTCCCCGACACGTTCGGTAGTGAAGTACATGTAAGTGTGCTACTTACACTTTGTGTGTAAGTAAGGGGTGAAGGTAGGTTAAGGAAGATGAATTGATCGCGCACAGTCCGTGGTCCATTTGTTAAGGAACTGCTACGACAATTAACTGGTGTTGTGTGGATAAACAACGGAAAATTACCAATCAGAGCCTTCGGCCGCTTGAAGTTTTCTCCAGTCAGCGCCAGAACTCGACCGAGCTACGTTGCTGGTATCGAAAATCGTCGGGTCTCGATCCTTAAGACATCCTGGTCAGAGGTATTGTAGTGACATCAATTGCTACCCTGAGCCAACGCAGCCGGTAAAAAGCAAGGAATAATGGCAATGACACTCTGTCAGATACATACCCAAAACTACTAACTACCTCACTAAAAAGTCTAGAAAGAATTGCCATATATCATGGGTAATATTAATTCAGCTTAAGACATCACTCCGGGAGCAAGATAGGGCAACGGCTAAAGTGTAATACAATTTCAAAAAATTTGGGCAAGTTCCTTGAACTCCTCAGTAGAGAGAATATATTGCAAGAGATCGGAGGCCAGTTAAACCAAACGAAGGTTTATTGGCACGCAAGGTCGCACGTACGCTAAAGAAACATGGTACTCTCTAAATATGAAAGTATCTTCTGACTCATCTCCATCACAAACGTTGTGCAGGTCTCTGAGACGTAACATCTATTGAAATATTCATTGTGGTATGGAAATTAAGAAAGATACGGCTCACAGCAAGCGTCCAACGTACACAGTTCTATGACTGGTAGGAACACGGTAGTCAACGAGCGCCAAGCAACCAAACGCGCCGCGGCGAATTTTTGAAAATCTCTTATTATAGGACCGTGGTAACGAAAAAGTGGATAAATCCAGTTGATAAATTTAGAAAAAATCCTCTAACACTTGGTATAGCCAGAACCCATGTTTTGTGCGTCCGAATTACGGCAAAACGTCTTTCTGTCCTTCCTATGGTCTGTCCGTCCGTCTGTCTGCCCGACTATGAAGCAGCTCAACCGACCATCTGACCGTCTTTTCACCAAAATTGTAATTCCACAAGCACTGATGTCGCGACCCCTTGAATTTGAAACAGATGTTTTAATATTTGTGGCACTTTACATGCCTCAGGGAAATTTTCAAAAAATTGGCTCCAACCTTTGTTATTGTAACCATATTGTAACTTATTGTAACCATTGTAATCATAAACTTTGTTATTGGATAGTATGAAGGAAAAGAGAATGGTGCAAGTCTCATGTTCGCTAAAACTCTAATTTCTAGAAAATTGAAAAATTTCAAAAGTTTTTTGTATCGCCGCCCAAGGAACATATTTTTTTTCGATGTCCTAATAGTAGAACGGAGATATTAATTTAAGAATGAATATTTAAGAACAGTAAGACCTCGTTCTAAATGACAATTTGGAGTCGGTAATAAGAAAACGGCGCTTCAGGGCTACTGTAAATTCGAAATTTGAACCTCTTCTCTCAGAAACGTTTCGAGTTTTCGAGAAAACACAGATACAATTGTGTTAACCAATTGCTAGAAATGTGCATATTAACAGTGAGAAATATTAAAAAAATACATTTGTTTAATTTTTGAAAAACCAAAATGAACTTTGTCATATTAAAGAGTGTAATTAGCACTATCCGTTCGAAAATTTATAAGAAAACATTTGGAGCCGTTTTTGAGAAAATGGCGTTTGAGCGTTTCTGACAATACGAAATTTTGAACTAGTTGCAAATGTTGAACCAGAAACTTAATATGACATTACTTGAAGGTCATGTACTCATAAATATAATGTTAATAAATTGACGCTAATACAAATATTAACGATTTGAGAGACATATAAAAAATACATTTTTTATTTTTGGAAAAATAAAAGAATAGAGCAATATGTTAAGTCATCTTATAGAGTGCATTTAGCACTATCCCTACTAAAACTATTGTAAAAAACACATTTGGAACCGTTTTTGAGAAAATATTGTTTTTGTATATTTTTAAAATTGCACATATTGCTCGCATTATTGCGCGAAAACTATTAAAAGTTTCAAAAATGTATAAGACCTTAATGACAGAACTAATTGTAGACAACAATTTTTATTTGAAGGAAAAATCTGTACTTTCAATATAAGTAGTTATAAGAATACGCGGAACAAAATTCGAATTGAAGATAAATTTTCCGGGCTGGTAGGCCGGGGTCTATTGAAGGGCCAAAGGTTTCGTCCCCGTCTGCGGTGTACATTCTCAGTGGCGGTAGGGTCGCGGGCGCAGTGTTCGGGGCGGCGGCTGGCTGGCGAGTGGCGACGCGCTCCGACTTAAACGCCGACTAGAGAGACTACGTAAGAAGGCTCAAATGCTATGCTCTTTATACTTTCTACTTCGTTGCCGGGACAACAATTAATTCCGATTTCATACGCCAGAAACGCAATTTCTCCACGAAGTCATCGCACCGCATCTATGACCGCATGGAAAAGCGCTGCTCCACGGATACACCAAACCCGTCGGGATATTGCATTTCCAAACAAGGCGCTATATGGACTGCACATACAGATTAGTAAAATGCTCCGACCGAAAGATTGGGTCAACATTGACCGCATCACCTACACTACGAACACCACACAGAAAATACACATTTCTGGAAAACAAATTCGAAAATACGACCTTACGAAGCTTACAGAAAAGAAGGAAATGTCGGTCAGTCTTGAACTACAGCACAGTGGTAAACTCTTCGGTCGAACAACTGTCTCCGGAAGGAACTGCGATTCTCGCGAAGGAAGGCAACTTCGCGGTTACCCCATCTAAAGTGCCCATAGGAGAAATTATCACTAAAATTGAGTCTGGAATACGATTATTGCCCACAGACATAGTAGAGAAAATGAGAAGAGAGTTTTCCAGAATTCTCCAAAAGGCTAAATCCTCTAAAAGTAATCTCCCAGAACGGTGAGAGCAGCCTTGAGAAATTTAAACAGCAACGATAATATCGTCATTCTTGCAGCAGATAAAGGCAATGTCACTGTAGTTCTGAACAAAATTGAATACGAAAACAAGATAAAGAACATCCTGGATCGTAACATCAAGCAAGCTTCCACGTGACCCTACGTCACACATAATCCGCCGCACCAACTAGCTACTCAAAGATTCAAGTATTCCAGCCGAAACCCAACGTTCCATAAAGAAATAGGAAGCAGCTGCACCCAGACTATACGGTGTACAAAAAAACCACAAAACTGAAGTTCCCTTACGGCCCATTGTCAGCGCTATTGGATCTCCTACGTACTCCGTATCCAAGTGCGTATGCAACTTGCTCCAACCTCACATCGGAAAAACCAGCTCCAACATCAAGAGTTATGCATATTTCATCAAAACATTGAAGTCCCTGGTGCTGTAGCCAGACGATCTGTTTCGATGTAGCATCATTATTCACCATGGTACCTGTTACCGAAACTGCTTTGCTACGGGGATTTTTCCCGGAGGGCATCACAGAACTCTTCCATCACGGGCTAACCACTACATATTTTGTATGGAATGGTGAGTTTTACGAGCAGAATGATGGAGTAGCTGTAGGAAACCCGTTGAGTTCGATTGCAGCCAATTTATATATGGAGAGCTTCGAGGCCACAGCGCTAAACACTGCGCCATGCAAAGCCACTTTTTGGTTGCGGTACGTCGGTGATACTTTCGTCATTTGGAGCCATGGGGAAAAACATGGGAAGATTTCCTTCGACATCTGAATTCCATTTACCCCCGCATACAGTTTACCATTGAGAAGAAACATAATGGAAAAATACCTTTTCTGGACATGCTTGTAAAGAAGAAGGAAGACGGATCCCTCGGTCACACAGTTTTCCGAAAACCTACCCACACGGACCGTTATCTTAACAAACTATGGATCCACCACCCCAGCCAGAAGAGAGCCATGATGAAGACACTCATCCACCGCGCCAGACAGATATGTGAAGACAACAACATTCAGCAAGAACTCTGCCGTCTGGAAAATGCTCCTCGAGCTAATGGATATTCAATCCACAAGAACAGTGTATCCTGTAGACGCCAGTCGTCATTAGTGTGTCTCTAAGGTCTTTAACCGATGTAAAGAGATTGTGGAGCTAAGTGGTGGGGTGAAAATGGTTTTGATGTTGTGGTGTTTCCAAATCTTGTCAATAAGGGCCGTGATGTTCTTAGTAGTCGGCAGTGTGACCTTGTGAATGTTTTCTTTAGGAGGACTGAGTGGTGTGTTGTTTGGACGTAGTGCTCTCTTATATCTTAGATTTTTTTTACAAATTTAATGAAAAAAATAGAGCCGTTTTTAATAAAATTTTGAAAATGTCCGGGGGCTTTCATGTAAAGTATCTCTAAATTTGAAAGAACGTTTTTCAAATTATGAAAGCTTCGACTTCTTCCAGATAGACAAGGGTTTCTTCAATTTGGAAAAAATCCTACGGATTTTTGATCCTAGTAGTGTTCACAGATGTGGGCAGATGGACGGACGGACAGACGAACGTTTAAAAAAAAACTTTTTCGGCATCAGGGGACTCCAAAACATGATTTTCGTTGAAATATCTAAATCGATTTTCCGCAGCATTACATAACTTTTCCTATACGACGTCCTATACGATTCGTACTCGTATTACTATGTACGTATACGGTACCTCGTATAAGTAAAAATTAACATCAATAAACCTGCCGAAGGTGCCAAGAAAAGGTAGCTTGGTAGTTAATGATTAAGGTAGAAATGTAGTTAATTAAAAACTTTCCAAACCTCGTTTTCAGGTTTCCCTTGTGACTAACATGTTTTATTGTCGTAGGGTCGTCTTGTGGCTTTGCTGACTGATCCTGACCACCACTTTAATATTGACACTCTGGAGCAGCTAGCAGCCTCTGGGTTGCCCATTTGTGAATTCAGAAATGCATTTTCTTTATTTAAAGACGTTATAACTGCAAAATCTGCAGACACGTTGGGAAGCCAAAGCAGAAAAATAAAAATGAAACCGGCAAAGTCGATAAACTACCTAAACAACCTTCCTGAATGCCAGTCTCATGCATTAATTATGGGGGATAACGATTGTCATACTTTGGGAAAAGGAAGATTTTTCCACTACCGCGTCCATGTTCTTAAAGAGTATTCTTCGACTCTTCTGTTCTGGCTTGCAAGACGGTAAGTATATGTTGTATTAGTACTGATAGTACATAGTACAAAATGTAGGGCGTTCTATTTTTCTTTTAAAGTCCGATTATGGCTAACTCCAAAATTAACCTGTTAACGATTACATTATCCAAAATATGTGGATAAAGTCCGAAATAGGAACAACCTTGAAGCATACTTCGGACTTAACCGGTTGATGTGTTCATTAGCCTACACACACACGCTCTTAGGTGAATTACGTTACGGAGGATAATACCAATATTAGCCGGTTCAAGTCAGATATGATCTTCAAATTGTCTTTCATAAAGCTTTCTCCACATCATATGACCAATGTGCAAATGAACTGACTACCACAAACATCATATATTGAACTTAAGCCGAGACATATACATTGTATAAAATGCAGTTATGACTCGAGTTAAGTTAGAATAAAGATACGGGCGTGGATCCACGGGAAGGGAAAGGAGGGACATTTCTCTTCTAACCTTTTTCAGTATCTATTAATTTTAATTTGTCACGAAACTTACCAGAAAAAATATATTAGGATAATAATTAAAACGAATAAAATCATATTGCAGCATGAGCTAATGTATTCTACAACATTTTACAAAATCTTTAATCTGACATCTTCGACCAAAACATTTTGAATTTCCCCCTCCTTTGTCTCTGGGTCCGCCTCTGAAGGATATGCGATTACACACACACACACACACACACACATATATATATATATATATATATATATATATATATATATATATATATGTGTATATATATCTGTGTGTGTGTGTGTACAACTAATACGGAGTTGCTGTACTCTTCGCTCTCACACTCCATGCAATTGTATTTGTCCGTAGCAGAGATCTTTTGTCATGTCTCGCGCACTCCATGCTGCTATTTCAGTCCGGGTCTTCCTTTCTTCTTTCTACCGGCATTCATTGCGACTCGTTTTGGCCATTTTCGGGCTGTCATGAGTATAACCTGACCGAACTAGGTGATTTATTTTTCTTTATTTTACCAAGAATAGTTTTCTTTATATCCATTCCAATTCTTATGTTATCATCCTGCTTCTATCACGTCTGCTGTAACAACGTCTACGCCAGTAGTCCATTTCAAGAGCTAACCTCTCCCATCTTGTTCTTTTATCAACCTCCAAAATTTATGACTCGTACGTTTTTACATTCTTGACTAGAATGGCGTAATGACGTCTTTCAGTGTTAGGTATGATTTTGATCCAAAAGCACCGATTCTTCACTCCATAAGTTTTCCCCAAGCTTATAGGTCTCTCAATTTTTCTTGCGCATTTTCCCTTTTGTTAAAAATTACACCCAAAATTTAATTTGTTTACTGATATTTAATAAGCAAAGCAAACACTTTTGCATTAGCTAGTCTCACGCAAAGTAATGGCAGTTCCTGTTAATGATTTGTTGTCCTTTTATTGATAGTCAGTAATAAACACCATTATTATATAAACTGTTTTTGTTCTTAATATCCACCACCATGCTTGTTTGCGACATAAATTATTATATTTTCTAGCTGTTAATTTGCTGACGTTCTTTGAATACAATGTAAAATATTTAATCAAATGTATGCGCAGGAACTCCTTGACCAACGCCCCTCCACAAAAAACTTCGCCGTCTCGACGCTGCCGGCTTACGAGATTTTTGGTATACTGACTTTCATAGGGAATACTTCTCAATCTATGGGAAAGAGACGTTTGCAACAGAAGAAGACTCGGGTGGTTGGGAGCGCCCAACGGAGGTGGCGGATCTGGCGTTGAGCGACTTGGCCCTCGCCTTCTGCGTGCTGAGCGCGGGCTTGGCCATGGCGGTGGGCGTGTTCAGCGTCGAGCTCTTTCACACAATCATCGTCATGAAACTGCGAGAGACCGTTGCCTGGCTTTCACCTCTACTGCGGACTCCTCAGGCACTTCCGCTGGCTCCTCCGCCACCGCCACCTCCTCCGGCTCTTTCGGCACCACCACCGCCTCCGGCACCTCCACCGCCTCCTCAACTTCTCTTCCGCTTGCCTCCTCTCACGACTGAAGTCCACTCAGTCTCCACGTTGTTCTGAAGGTGTTCAGAAACTTGAGTCGGCACCTTGCTCAAACCTTGTTTAACTGCAGTTCTTTCAATACTCTGCACATACTCGCTTCTCCTATACCCACATTCATTAAAAATTCTTTCACGATTATACGTGTACAGGGTACGAGTATTACAGAACTACGAAACTTAAAATTGCAATTTCTGAGAAATCAAATTCGCACTTGTGTCTCTTTTCTATTGGAGGTGCGAAATGTTTTCTTTAATTTTTTCACTTATGTAATAAGAGACGCTAAGTAATATGGTGCTAGATTCATTTTCAGGTATTGCCTGGATTATTGAAAATTTAAAAAAAATAAAATAAAAGAGAATTTTGCCTCAGATAAAGTCGGTTGTACAACATTATGGTTTAAGAAAGGTCATGTACAATTTTTTGCAAAACAAGTTGCACAATTTTGTCAATGTGATATACATTTAATTCTATATGAATAGATTGATTAATTTTCTAAGAAATGTATGTTTTCATCGAAGGGAAACAATGCGAAGGGTAGTGCATCATAGCTAGAGAAGGAGGTCACCACACCCGCCATAGCTTTTAGTGAGTAATGTGGGAAATGAGTTAAGTTATTTTGGGATATCTTTAAGTCACTGAGTTAATTTGGGATATCTTAAAACTCTTTAAATGACTGACTGTAAGTGGGGAAATTATACACTTACGGATATCAACGATGTTTACAGTAATGACTGCCATATTTAGTAATTTTTAAATGTACTAAAGCCTGTGAATGGGTAAATAAAACGCTATAATACGACACAACTCACATGCAAGACGATAGTACCCAGAAGTTGTAAAGTGAAACTAGTATATCAGCGCGTGGATTTGAATCTTCCCTCGTGTTTCTAGCAAGCAGCCTGTGGAACTACTGATAACACTTTGATACTCATTCTCGCAAAGCCTGTTGACAGAGGCAAAGAGTTATCCATGTAAATCCCTGGAAAATTGGAGGGCGTATCCGGGGGGTGACAGCTGCTCATCAACAGTGGTGCGAACTCCCCTTGTGACTAGTCCTCTGTGGAAGGAGGCGAGGGCAGTGCGAATATCGAACGAAATCCATGATCGTCGTGTGGATGGGAATTACACCCATTTGACGGCGAGGAAGGGGCAATTCCATTCGTGTCAATAATCTCTTCCAATTGTCTCGCAGTGCAGATGTTGCAAGGATTTTACGTTTTTGGTCGCTTCGTCGAGTGTCGGAAATAACGATCGGTTTGTTGTACCTCTCGATATTCACATCCTTTTTCGATTCTTGAGTGTCTTCAGATAAGTTAAATTAGAAATATGCAAGTATCTATTGTGATCCTTAAGCGAGGTAACACTTTGAAGTCATGAGTCTGTGGTTTGGGGTTTATTTCGCGAGTCTGGGGTTATAACGAGATATTAGCATTAGGAATATGGCCTCTTTTGAAATGTGCACAGTATTGAAACCGCAAACTAATCATCAATATAATACTATGTAATGTAAACGTGTAACTATGAGCATTATGCTGTATATTTTATTTTGAAACATATTATAAATTACATGAGTTTGAAGATATTCTTTTTGGGATCAGTTTTCCGTCAAAAACATTAGCTCATTTTGAAAGAAACAAACTCTACCAGATATTTAAAGTTTCACATGTTTATAACACCGAAACCTATAAAAATACCCACCGAATTGAGTTTCTTTTTTTAATAACAGAAGAGAGACCTTTTGTTCCATATTGAATTTACAGGTTAAGTGGTCAAGCTGCATATACGTGTCTTTTTGAATGTTAAACAGAATGAAACACAAAACCTGACATTCTCGGGTTCCCTGCAGCAGACTAATGAGTGCCCGGGTAAGCCCCCGGTGAACTTACAAATTCTCTTTGAGAGAAAGAGAGTCGCAAGGTGTTTTGGCAAAGCGCCCAAATCGTATTCTGCTGTTTTGTTCTCTGAGCGTTGGAATCATGTCACGTTTTGCGTTAAGAACTTCATCCCCAAAAATGTAAGTAGCTTACTAGTTGTTCTGGAAAATGTTCAAACGACCTACTTCATACATTCAGTAAAAAGACTTCGGTAAATTATTCATTCCGTGTTTCATAATTCCACGTAAATTCATTCGAATTTAGTAGGGACATTAGCATCTCATTTTTATTTAAAAAATTCAATGATTGTTTCAAAATGCTTTGAAATTGAAGCTTACATTAGAGAGAAGAAAACTATGAAAGAAACGTCACAAGTTACATGATAATAATCATTGAATCTCTACAGTTCGGAGACCTCTGTTCTAAATGAAAAATGACTGTCAGAGTGATACATCTGCAATTAATAGACACTGTTTTCTCTTTCTATCGGAAGAGGTAAGAGGATGCCTGCAATTCTTAGATACTGCTCTACACCAGAATGTTTTATTTCATATAATATTGATGTGAAGAATCTCCCAAGCACATACTATCTGAGTCGTTTGGGTATTCCCTTGTGGCTATGAGCTTCGAATCAGGTGTCAGGTTACACAAATTCGAGAGTGCTTTGTGGCACCGCCGCCAGGTTGCGTTGACGAATCAATCCATTTCAATTGTACCGTTATTGCAGGAGAGAAGGGACTAGAGTGGGCATTTTCCCTTCAAAATACTATAATTTCAATTCTTTCTGTAATTTAATGTACATTCTGTGTCTGATGCACACCTTAGTAATTCATGTTTATTTTTCAATATGCAGTTTTAATATTTTACACCTAAATACATTTTAAAAACACTTTTTAATATTTATGCTAGTACAGTTGTCCACTCTAGCCCCTCTTATTTACACCCTAAGTTCCCTAAAGTTCACATCCTAAGTTCCTTAATGTTCACACCCTAAGTTCCCTAATGTTCACACACAAGAAGTGTTATCTTTTGTATCATATTATTTAAACTCTGTACTGTAAAACAATATTATTTTATTAGA